CTAGGCCGAGTATAAAATTTATATCCAAAAGAAAATGTTAACTGGCACCTGGTTATTATTTCTGCCTTTTAGCTGTCAAAATCTGATGCTAAATATCCTCCACATAAGACAGAAATGACTGTTATGAGTTCAAAGAAAGACCCAGCAGCTGAGCCAGCAGATTTTCAAAGATATCAACAATTTTGTAGATGCTTGAAAGGGAAAGATTTGATAGACTACATGAAAGGTATTTGAAAATCATATCCTAGCTTCAGCAAATCCCACCCAATCTAACTGAGAGTATCTTTCAAACCCAATGCCCTTCTGTCCAACTTCATGTCTACCATCTATCCCAAGTGCAAACTACAGTAGACACCTAGAAGTTTTTCTGACTCCACTCTTATTTAACCATTGTTTAGCATTCCTAGCAATCTTTTCAAAACTGTGATATTTTTGTCTGCCAGCTCAGGGTTGCCCAAGGTTTGAAATGGGCCAAAGGACCCCACATTGACCCCTATTAGATCAGCATCCCAGATGTGATAGTGTCCCAAGATTACAGGGGGAGGTGTGTCCCTAATCCTGGGATGGCCTGCCCCATACGAGGATTATGCTTCCCCCCATTTTAATTAACTTACTGAGTCCCATTGAAAACTTTTTAGTATGTCCTCAAAATTGTGGTACAGTGATAGGCTGATAGCCCACAATAAAAATGAAGAGAGTATTCTTATATACAAAAATTAAGCAAGTCTCAAAATTATGCTGAAACAAAGATGCCAGATTATGAAAAAAATACATTATGTGACTTCATTTATATTAAAATACAGCAGGCAAGCCTAACGAAACACCAAAGATCACTTTTATTTGTTTTTGTGCTTTATAAAGAATGGAATTCAATGTGCCGTATTGAGGGATTTGATGTTTTTCTTCCAGTATTGCATTTTTAAGATACATTGATACAGTTCACTGCTGCACATTTATTGTGCATGGGGTGTAACATTTTACTGAGTAAACTAATGAAGTCTGGTTGGCAGAATAGAGTTGGCTACCAAGCCTAGCCTGCCAACCCCCATTTTAAATTGTCACCCCAAGTTGGTGCATCCAGCGTCTGCACACGTGGGCATCGCCTTCTGGAAAAGGGGTCCCCAAACTGCAGCCCCTGAGGTCATACATGGCCCTTCCCCAAGTTTTACTGGAACCCCACGGCCGCACTCGGATGTGGACTGGCTGTTTGCAGCCTACGTGGGAGAGCTGCGGCAGTGGAACATGCGAAATCTACACTATTCACCACCTCGTACTTTACAGGAAATTGTTTTCAAGCTCTGCACCAGCCTATGAATTAAACTTTTAACTTAAAAGTCTGAGCTGAACAAATACAAGCAGCGACACATTTCAGGATGCCAAAGAAAAATATATTACTTACAAAAGCCCAAAGCCGAAGTTAGTGAAAATATTCCAAACTGAAGCCACCAAGTACACTGGAAACAATTGCGCTGCTTTAGAGAGAGATTGTTTTAGGCTCCGCAGCCCTGGCGGCACTGCCTTCGTGTATTTATACATTTCCTGTCAGGGGAGCTTTCTTGGTGGCAGCTGAGGCTTGTGCTGGTTTTGCCTGCCAGCCCCAGGTGACCAAGGTTTGGATGGGGCAGAGGACCCCAGACAGATGCCTATTCATCTTCAGTTCTGCACCCAAGAAGAGTCAGTCAGCTGGGGTTAGGGGAGGTTGCTGCAGTCCCCGATGATCCTGCTATGGCCTTGTTCCACTCATTCCCCACATTTGCAGAAAACTAACCTGTCCAGGATTTGATTGCTATTTCCTTTCTCCTTCGTCCTGTCCACTTTAATTTTGCATAGACTTTTATTTATATGGGCGAATGTGTCCTTTTTCTGGGCCATCTTCCTGGGATAGGAAAGCCTCCACATTTGTCAAATGGAGGAGGAATTTACTTTCCAGCACGCAAACAAAACTCTTTTCTCTCTTTGAACCTTGCAAAGCAGCCATTCGGTGGAGTTAACCTTAAAATACCCCTCTTTTCTCTGGATTAATAGCACAACCACCTTCTGCTTGCTCTTCTTCCATGGCCCTCAGTGAGGCAGTTTCCAAGCAGTAGGCAGCTGGCCTATGCCTGAGGTGTCCCCCACACGACACATTTCCCTCAGGATCAGAACTGCACGGGCCAATCTCTCCTGAGAAATATTTGAGAGAAACATCTTTCCGTTCAGAAATCTTTTATTTTTTAAGAGACGGGAAATTGCCTTATTTTTATCATTAAGTTTATTGGTATAATTTAGATATACATAAGGATCATATTCAGCATATAGAATTTGTACCTGTACATGATATATGTTGATTCATATCTTTCCTTATTCCCCTCCCTCCCCTTCTACTCCTCTTCCTCTTCTTATTTACAAGAGCTTTGTTTGCACTTTATCTTTCTTTTCTCATTTTTCCCCTTTCCCTTCCTTTCCTAGTGCCCCTTTCTATTTGAATATTTTCTTCCTATTTTACATTATCCATTATACATTTTGGTCCTTATTTACACTTTCAGTTTCTCACACCAGAGAAACAATGCAATATTTACACATGTGTGTCTGATTTATTTCACTTAAGAGTATGGTCTCAAGGTACATTCATTTACAGAGAAATGTCTTCAGTTTATCCTTCTTTATGGCAGAATAGTACTCCATTATATAAAAAATACATCTTCTTTATCAATTCATTGGTTGATGGGCATTTGGGCTGTTTCCAAGCTTTAGCTATTACAAACTGTGCTGCTATAAACATGGGTGTGCATATATCACTGTGGTATGATTCTTTAAATTCTTTGGGGAAGATACCCAGAAGGAGGATAGCTGGGTCAAATGGAACTTCTAGCCTTAGTTATTTGTTTGTTTGGTTTTTTTTTTTCTGGTACAGGGGATCGAACTCAGGACCTTGCACTTGCAAGGCAGGCACAGAGCCACTGAGCTAAATCCCCAGCCCCTAGTCCTAGTTCTTTGAGGAATCTCCATACTGATTTCCACAGTGGTTGCACCAGTCTACACTCCAACCAACAATGGAGCAGAGCTCCTGTTCCCCACAGCCCTGCCAGCATTTGTTACTGGTTGATTTCATGATAGCAGCCAATCTTTCTGGGATGAAATGGAATCTCAGCGTTGTTTTAATTTGCATCCCTCAAATGACTGGTGATGGTGAACATTCTCTCATATGTTTATTTGCTGTTTTTACTTCTTCATCTGAGAAGTGTGTATTCATCTCAGATGCCCATTTTTGGACTGAGTCTTTAAATTTGAGGGATTTTTATTTTTATCAGTTCTTTATATATTCTAGGTATCTGTCTTTTGTTTGAAGAACAGCTGCCCCAAATTTTTTCCTAGCCTCTTTAATAAATGGTGCTGGAAAAAGTGGCTCTCCACTTGCCAAAGATTAAAACTAGACCCATGTCTCTCACCAAGCACTAAACTAAAATCAAAATGGATCAAAGGTCTAAATATTAAAACAGAAACACTAAATAAGAGAATAAGTGGAACTCTTGAAGACACGGGCAAAGGCTTTATGAACAAAACCCTGACAGCATGGGAAATATTACAAAGAATCAACACCTGTGATCTCATCTTATTAAAAAGCTTTCACACAATTAAAGAAATCACCAACAGAGAGACAACCCACAGAAATCTTTTCTTTAGGCATACTGAATGGATAGCCTTGAAACCAATTTCATTTTGGAAAACAACAACCAAAAAAAAAAAAAAGTAAGAAAAGACCTGGGTCTTGTTTTAAAGCTCTCTCATACTGGCCGTTCAAGCCAACAATGTACAGGAATGTATCTCTTGACTTAAAGTAATCTCCATGTACCCATTCTCATCCCCAAATGTGACCTGCCCGGTCTTAGGACCAGGCAAGGTCTCTATTGAAGCAGCTGGCTGTGTTTACTGAACTGAGAGGGAATGCAGATTAAGAGGTGAAACTATTCCAGGTTCGGAGCCAAGAAGACACTAAAGAATGTGTCCAAGTTTCTCAAGTCTCCTGATAACAGGGGGTCGGGGTTGGCGGGGCTATACCCATGGAAGTGGGCTATGCCAGGACCAAGTGACAATACAGAGGGACAGCTTGTTCACTGTGGCTGGCTGCCACTTGGATCACACACACACACACACACACACACACACACACACGCCAGCAATTGTTGGCATTCTCATATTACAGGCTGAAGCTTTGTGCATTTTGATCAACGACCTTCTGCGAGTCACAAGCTTCAAGCCAAGGAAAACAAAATTCATGATGGTTTTTTTCCATTTCAAATGGAGCTTTCTGAGTCGACATTACGATATTTGTCCCCCCTTATCTGACTGGAAGCTCACAATTCAACTGGGAGGTAGGTAGGAAATGTATCCCTGCTTCTGGAAGAGAAAAACCAGATGCAGAGAGAGAGGAGGGTTTGGCCCTGCGTGTAGAGCTTCCAAATCAAGATCAGCTATGTACCAGATAGTGACTGGCCGAGGGAACCCAGAGCCTCTACTTGGCAGGAACTTTTGTCCCTCTTGTGTGTGCTAAGCAAAGGTCATGAAATGCCAGCTTGGCTGCTGCCAGAAAGGGAAATGCAGAATTACCTTTCTCCTTGCTTAAAGCTGATATGCAGGGGTATTTCCCTGGGGTCGGAGGTGTGGGGAGGCACACAATTAAAACAGCACCGAAATGGAGACCAGGATGGGTCATATCAGAGCATAAAGGTTACTGTGGATTCTCTTCTGTCGATCCATTTTTTTCTAGAATGTTTCCTAAAATTTGAGCTATTTTATCAATAAAGTTTCATGTAAATCTTTAAAGTATAACCCTGGCTCCTATACTCTCTGCTCTTGCTATATTTTTTTGTTTCTTTTTCAAATTAGTCTGTTTGCGATACAGATGATTACATTCGTCTGGAGCCATTGGTACACACCTGGACAGCATCCCTCAGGTTCTCCCCATGTTCGGGTCTCCCTCGCGTCTCCAGGAAGCCTACCTCCTCCCTTCATCTATCTTTTGTTTTGCTCTTTAAATTATTTATATTTGGGGGTTCCCAGGTAAGGGAAACCAAGTGATATTTCACCCTCTGTGTCATATTCTTGCTTTAGTCATTATTTCAGGGCCATAGAAATTTCCCTGTCAAAGGAGTATTTGCTCTCACTTCTTCATATTTATTTGGTCACAAAACAGCACTTCTCATCACACCGTCCCAGTCTCCATCCATGGCCAGCACACGGATGGACCCAGACACCCAAGGTAGACGCAGCGCTGTATTTGCTTGGACCTCACTAGACCGTACCTACGCCACCTTGGGTTCCACAGGGATGTAATCTCCACACAGTTGCCACCCGGAAGTGGTTGGCCTAACTTGCCTTGAACCTGAAGGAGCCAGATAAGTGCTATCCATGATGAGCATGTCCTGTAGCTTCCCCTGCGCGCCCTGCTGCTGGTGGGATGTGGCTTATTTTAGGGCTCCAAAATCAACAGTTGAGATTTTGCCTCTCGCCTCTCCTCAGGAAACAAAATTCTTCATCCTCTCAGCCTGTGGGAGCCCATTAATGTATCCACTGTGGGGGAAGCCTTCATCTCCTCCCTACACACCATGCCCGTCTTTTCGACACAACTTCTTACAACGTAAGACCATCTTACCAAGGGAGGTATTTTCTGCATACGTTGTTTTATCACTCCATAATTTTTAGAGGATTTCCTGCCAGCAGGCAGATGAAATCCAACATGTATGTTCCTTTTGGTGAGCAGAATCCATCCTACATTCTGGCTTCTCCCTGAAGACATCTTTTTTTAAGACTTTTCCATTACAGCGTGCAATAGTTTGGATTTTGACCATCTCTGAAAGGCGCTTGTGTTACGGGCATGGGCAGTGAGGGGAACTTGGGGAGGCAGGGCCATGGCAGTCCTTGGGCTACTGGGGGGTGTCTTGAGGGGATTCACTGTGAGACTTCAGTCTCCTCTCTTGTCCTCTCTGTGTTCCCTGGATCAGTCTGTTAGCTGTTTTTCATTGCCACACACTCCCACTGTGATGTTGCCCAGAACAATGTGTCCTCTCAGTTAAAGTCTGGAAGCTTCGGAATGGTGAACCAAAATAGTTTCTCTTTATAATTGAATTACCTCGGGTATTATGTTACAGTGATAGAAAGCTGACTGTTATATTTGACTGGTCCCACATTCATAATTCTAAGCTTAGAAATACAATAAAATCAAAGAGTTGAGGACTCACTGTCATGATTTTCTGAATAATATTGGTTATCAACAAGCTTATTTCCACTTATAGTTTTGCTATTTCAAGGTCTAAAATCCAACCATGACATAATTTAAAAATAAGGAGATGTAATCACAATGGAAAATGCTTAAGAAATGTAGAGGTGAGAATTCTCTTGTGGGTTCTGACTCCAAATTCCCATGACTGAGCAGCTTCTCTGATTTCTTCTCCACAGGGTACTGATGACTGATTAATTGCAAGGAGTTTCAGGACCAGAAAGTGTTCATTGCCATCCTGAGAGGGCCACACGCTGAGTGCCCAGAATAATTATGCTCCCTGAGAGTTTGGGCAGATTTTCACTCATGGAATTGTTAGAGACTGAAAGTGGTGAATTGCAGAAACTTAATTCCAAGTGGTGAATTTTTAAGGACTCTCACCTAAGTGAACACAAATAAGTTTCACGGAGGAAGGAGGGTGCGTGTGATATGTCTCACTGGATGCATGCAAATTTATATGCCAACATGAAAAGATGCAGGGAATTTTTTGCCCAGGAAACATCTGTAATTTTCCACAGAGAGCAGGGAAACAGAGAAGGTGTCTCTCATGTTAAAGGTCAACGAATTCTATCATATTAGCAGGTTTTCCCCAATGTGACATCTTAGAGATTCAGTGACCTCATTGCTTGTGTCCATTGTGCACTTCTTGGTCCAATGTCCGTGCACCTCATCTCCTGAGCACCCTGCTTATTGGTTACGCATTTTCCTTTTTTGGGTATTCATGTTTTGGTTGAACTTCTAGGTGTATGTCCAGGAACAATGAGTCCCTGTGAACAACAATAAAAAATACTTGCACAAAAATATACACAGCAGCTTCATTCACATATATATGTATAAAAATAGCTATGAGGACACATGAGGGTAGGAAAGACAACTGGAAGCATCCTTGGAGCAGGGAGATACAGAGAGGCAAAGCTAGAGATGAGATAGTAATTTTTGAGCAAAGCCCAACAGGCAGTTATAAGGTTGGGAAGCATTCCCTGTTGTGCAGCTTTGATTGAGCTGCTATAATTTCATATTCCCCTCCATGGCTCACACTAGGAGTAAGATTCTGTAAAATGCACTCGTATCCTCATCTCAAGAACATTGGTTTCACCAGTGCAAGGGGGCTGGGCTGCAGAGGATTAGATAGACTGGCTCTGAGTTTCTCTGGCTAAGTTGCCCTAAGTTACCGTGCAGACTCAATTGCTGCGCTTTCATGATCACGCGCGTTGCCTCACCTTCCACAACTGAGATAAGGACAGCAAATGGATAAATAGCTAGAAGAGTGTGGCTTAGCAGGAGTGGGGTTGGAAAGGATATCATAACACCTTGAACTTTCCTGTGGTTCCGTTGTTAGAAGGCAGAATTAACTTGAGTAAATCCCTGTGCTTTGTTATGAAATAATGAATTTGATTGTATGGTTCTAAGATTCTCTCGTCTCCAAAAATCCGTAAGATACATGAAGTTTTCTCCTTTCATAAATCGGTAGTTTCCAATCTCCTTTTCTTTCATCTTTTGGCTAATATATTTTCCAGCTTTTTCCTAAATTTGTAAGAAAAGACTCCAAGAAGAAATGATATTCTCTTTCCATGAATCAAAGCCCAAAAGGGGGCTTCCAACATTTGACTTAAGAGGCTGCTGACCAGCTGTGGACACGATGGAGAGCAAAAAGATGTTATTGATGGTTCAGTAGTGACATCATTGGTTTCTGCCATCATAGCGTGTACATGAACAGTTTCTCTGTTTCTTGGCTGTCCTATATAATGCTGTAGCTGTGTAAATAAAGAGCCAAGCTGAGAAGAATAATGAGAGAGAAAGAAAGAGAGAGAGAGAGACAGACAGACAGACAGAAAGAAACAGAGACAGAGAGTCCCAGGCTTATGATGCTTCTACTTGCAATCTTTTAAACTTTACAATGCTGCAGAAGTGCCACATATTCATTAGAAATTGCTCTTTGAAATTTTAGTTTTGGTCTTTTCCCACTCTATGTAGAGGCTTCGATATATATGCCTGTCATCTAGCATGGCTCTGCAATCTATTATCTCTGTCATCTATCACCCACCTTTCCATCATGGATATATCCATGTATCTATGTAGCACTGATCTGTCTTTCTGTGTGTCTGTCTGCCTGATGGAGAAGGGTGGAGGAACTAGGCTGAAACCCAAGCTGAAGCCACTTTCCAGAGCAGGATTTCTTCTTTGCCAGCTGCTGCTAAGCATTGGTTTTTCTTTTGGGGTCCTTCAGCTGTATGACTCAGAGCCACTCAGATCTTCTGCAGTTTTCTCTCCTCCTTAAAGTCAATGACTATGGACTTCATCACACATCTTCATGTCCACACCACGACTAGCTTCTGCATACATGGGTGCTGTAGCCGAGTCAACCTGGGTCGTCAGAAACATCATTGAAAGATCAAAACCAAATAGGGAAGAGGAAGGTAGTCAGCCCTCTCTTTTGTGTGCCTAGAGGTGTCCTGGGCACATTGAGCATATTTTATTCTCTCTGATCCTGCACACACGTCTATAAAAAGCAGGGTGTTTGAGGACCTAGTGGAAAAATATGTATAGGGCACCTTCACTTGTGGCAGTCATCTGTTACTTCATAGAATAGTTCTTCCTGTCCTTTTAAAACTTTGCTCAAAAGAATTTGATGGGGACAGTGTTTAATGTGCAAATCTGGAAGTCTTTTCTTTATTTTTTTCTTTTTTAAAATTAATTTTATTGGTACATTTTCGGTATACAATATAATGACATTCATCATTGGAAATTTGCAGCTTTACATAATCCATCTTGGTTCTTATTTTTCTTCCCTTCACCCCCTCCATCCCTCCCTATTTACAAAGACTTTGTTTCCATTTTTTCATTTTCTCATGTTAATTCTATTCCCTTCTTTCCTTTCCCCTACCCCTCCCACTTCCCCTTCCCCTTTGCCCCTTTTCTTCCTATTTGAATGTAGTAGAAAGTCTTTTCTTTATTAATTCTGCTCAATTTTTCTAAATAAATAAAACTGAAGCGACAGACTATAGTCTGTGAAGTTGTGCCAATGAGAGAAGCAAAAGCAATTAGGTGCTTATATATTTGTTAGGGGCTTCAAATGCTTTTTAGACACGAGTTTTACTTTTCTGTCCAGGATTCAAAGAAAAATAGTGCTCAACTGACTGAGAAACTATAATTTGTAAAAGAAGACTTTATACTAATCAAAAATATACTTATAAATGAATATTATAACCTAAGCTAGAATTGCAACCAAAAGCTCCATTCTAAAGATAATGACTTGTTTGCATCATTTTAAAAACGAATAAGGTACACTTGCAAGCAAATAATTTTTAAATGTACTCTTTTCCAAGCAGCACTTACTGTACTCCTGTGAATCTCCTAAGGTGGGAAATTTTACCTGAATTGTTAAAAATGTAGTCTTTCCCTTCACATAATTACCTGCTGATTTTAAAATGCCCATAAAGGAAAAGACTCATATTAGTTATGAGCTCGCACTGTGCTAAGTTCTCAAAATAAATCCCATGGTGCATCTTTCTTGCAAGGCAGAAAGCAGCAACAAACAGGCCTTTTTATGTGACCGAGGAAGCAAATTTTATATACTTATTTTTGTTGTTGTTGTTTTTGTTTTGTTTTGTTTTGCAGTACCAGGGATTGAATAGGACCTTGCACTTACCAGGCAAGCATGGTGCCACTGAGCTACATCACTGGCAAATTTTACATATTTTAGCCATGCCAGGGTAGGAAATAAGTCCTCTGACTTTTTTCCAACCACTTTTCTTTTTGTTTTCAAAAGTATAAACACTCTGCTGCTCCAATTTTTTTTAAATGACCACTAATGGTCTTAAAGTGTTTATTCCTCAATAGACATACACACATACATTCAATGGGATTTTTAAAATTCTTTTTTTTTCAAATTATAATTAAAATTTTTTTTTAAGAGCCCAATTTCTTTGTGGATGACACTTTGTACCCACTGATCCCAAACTTTAATTGTCGGTCCACAACTCAGTTTTATTTTTCACATTCCAGTTTAATGATTTGGATCTTAGGGTTCCCTTTTAGAATGATGTATTAATTTCCTACTGTAGCTTTATAGTTTACCACAAATCTGGTTGCTGAAACCAATGCAAATTTTTCATTTTACAGTTCTGTGGTTAAAAGTGAAAAAGTCAGGCTCCTCGGGCTGACACTGGTATGTGGGCGCATTGTGCTCCCTCTGGAGTTTGTAAAGACTTCGTTTTCTTCCCTTTCCCTGCTAGTAGAGACTACCTGCCCTGCTTGGCTATGGCCCCTTTCTCCATCACTCCAACCTCTGCTCCTGCTGTCTCATCTCCTTCTGTGATTCTGGCCTTCCCCATCCTCCTTGAGGATATTTTGGACACACTTGGATACTCTCCCCAATCATGGTCATCCTGGCCAAGTCCCTGTATCACATCAAGTGATAGCTGCACAGGCTTTGGTGTCTAGGACACATTTAATGGGAGTGTGGTGTGCATGGTTGTCCCTCCTATGTCCACATTTTAGAGGCGTGGTCTGTAGCCCATGGAACCTCTGAGAGGCGAGCCTAGTAGAAAGTCTTTATGTTGGTGGGGTGGGGATAAGTGACTGTGTCACACAGCCCCTCTCTTCCACTCCTTGGGCACGGGCTGAGCAGTTCTGCTCTGCTACGTGCTTCCTGTATGATTTGATATCTCACTACAGGCTCAGAGCCACAGGGCCAACTGATCACAGGGAGGAACTGCCAGAAGTCTGCACCTACATGAGCCTTTTATCTCTATAAATTGATTATTCCTGACATATGCTATCATGACAGAAAGCTGACTCGCAAAATGGGCCACTAATTTCCTGTCACAACGGACAGCCCTTATGTATATATACTTGGGAGTGTGTAATTGTCACACATGAGAAAAGCAATGGCCAAGGATTCTCAAAATCGAACTATGATGTTTGTATTAGCCTGCTCAGGAAGCCACGACCAAATATCACTCATTGAGTGGCTTAAACCACAGGAATTATTTTTCTCATTGTTTTGGGGTCCAGAAAGTCCAAGATCAAGGCTGAGCAGTGTTCCATTCCTGGACAGGACCCTTCAGATGGTCTGCAGGTGGCTAAGTGTGGACAGTGTCCTCACATGGTGGACAGACAGAGCTCTGATGGCCCTTCCTCTTTGTATAGGGTGCCAGAAACATCAACATAGGCCTCCCGCCCATGGCCTCATTTAACCTTTATCATTCTTCACAGGCCTGCTCTCCAAATGCCTCACACTGAGGATCAGGGCTTCAAATTACTAGTTTTCAGGGAACACACTTCAGCCTACAATAGTATTTATGTCTGCTTAGGCTATGGAGTGCAGAGCAAATTAACCAAAGCCTGAAAATAATAGATTTGAAAATTGCAAGGCTTAGTAAAGAAATAAATCTGAGATTTGAATACAGAGTTTTAGATTAAAAAACACACACACACAAACAAACAATCCAAAGAGCAAATCATTACATGTATGGCTGTATGAACTTTGCATACTTGCATAATCTCTTTGATCATATGTTTTTAAAAATGTAGACAGAGCAACACCTGCTTACTCTACTTCCAAGGGTTATTTCAAGGATAAACTAAGACAAGTCTTGTAAAAACCTTTCGAGAACTTTGAAGTGCTTTATGGGTGACAGCTGCAGCTGCAAGGGCTTTGAGTCAGTAGTGAAGCCAGGTGAATGCTGAAAAATGTTTGTCCAATTTAGAAAGAGTCCATTGAGGGCAGGGGACCAGTATATTACAGCCTTGCAAAGGTATTGCTGTTTATCTTGCTCCATTGGTTTTTGAAGGAAAGC